AAATGAAATAAACATTATTTGGGCTCTGTGAAAGCTAGAGGAAAGACAAATTTCAGGGAAAAAAATAAGCCACCTTCTCTTGAAATTAGCATCAGTAAATTCATCTATCTTGCATTAACAAAATTATAATACTAAAAAAATATTGCACAGACAATAAATAAATGCAAATCAATAAACACATCCCTAAGCTCTAAACGCTAAAATATAATATCCCAGTAAGCCTGTCACAGAAAACATGCAGAAAAAAAATCTTTGAATATGGAAGGAAAGGCAAGCAGATTTTTTTTCATCTCAGACAAATCCAAAAATAATAATAACAATAGCAGCACTTGATAGGCAGATAATGAGGCCATTAAAGATGCATGTTGTTCTATTTTTATATAATAAAGCCATTAAACAGTAAAAAAAACAACACCAGTTGAAAAAAGAATTCTACCACAAATATAAGAAAAAAACACATAAAATAAACTAAATTTAAAATGACTGTGCAAGGGAAATTGGTCCAAAATTTAAAGTGCAAAAAGAGCAAAAAACATATTCTCAACTAGAAAAAAAAAATTAAAACATTTCAAACGCATTTTTGAATATGTTAACAAGGAAAGATACTTGTCAAGCAGAATATGGTTGACACATGAAAAGAGGGTGAAGAGAGCAACGAGTTTTAACATTGATGCTGTTCCAAACAGGTGAACTTTACCAGAGTGAAGTTCAATGCCCAAAATAAGTAAGCATTGATGCTGTTTCAAACAGGTGAACTTAACCTGATTAAAGTTCAACGCCCAAAATCAGTATTACTGAAAGCGAGAAAATATTCTCACGAGTAAATGTTCTAAGAGATAAAATCAGAAAGGAAAGTTTTTTAAATGGCTAAAAGCTCAAAATCTAAAACAAATGGAGGGTTTACCCGTGTATCTTGTATGAGTAAATATTACATGAGGTCCATAAATAGCTTCAGAAATTTAACACTTCAGTAAAAATTGAAAAACAAAAACAATATTTTCAGTGGAAAAACAACATAAGTTTCATCTGGAATCTTACAAAAAACACGTGGAAAGAGATCAAGGCCAAAAGATAATTGCCTGAACAACAGTGAAACCCTATCAGAGTAACTATGACAACAAAGCTTCACTTGGACTTAAATCCATAGCTTTTAAGAGAATTTCATCATTTAGGGCTTCATAATCAAGAAAACGAAATTATAATTACAAAATTGCCAACATATTGGCTAATTAAAAATAATTAATAAAAAAACAAAAACAAAAATGTGAAGGAAGCTAGATGGGGGAAAAATCCAGCAGCATCCCAAAAGAACGCTGATATGCCATTAATTAAAAAATATACTACATATGGAAAAACTAACAAGATAGTGATTGATATAGTTAACCATAAAAAAGATTAGAAGAGCAACAAAATTTGAAAATATGCTAAAAAGCTTAATATTTTTAATGCCAGTGATACAACAAAGAAAAATAAAACTCACTGAAGATTTCACAAGGCAGTGAAATGCATGGAGGCTAAAGTCAAAAGTTCACACTAACTGCCATCAACTAAAAGAATTTTTTTTCCCATATTGAAATGGCCGCACATTGTGTAAGGTATATGTATATAATAAAGCCAGCAAAATAAAAAAATAAATGTAAGTTCAGAACATATTATCACACAAAAAACAAAATGATATAATAAAGCAGGCCACATCTTAAAAATGAAAGGGCCAAAACCACCAAATGCAAAGCCAACCATGAGAACAAATCATGAATTGCTTAAGATGAATAGAAAATAACTAAAGAAACATTTGTAATACTACGTTTAGCCTTAAAGAAATAGCATAATTCAAACCAACATGACAAGATATGGCATTACACTTGAAACTGATGATAAGGAAAATAGAGGAATTTTATCAATCCTTCATTCACGCTAGTGCATTTCGTGCAATCTTTGCTCTAATTTGCAGAAGACCTTTTTAACCCCCACCCCCCAAACCAGCATGACAAGATATGGCATTACACTTGAAACTGATGATAAGGAAAATAAAGGAATTTTATCAATCCTTCATTCACGCTAGTGCGTTGCATGCAATCTTTGCTCTAATTTGCAGAAGACCTTTTTCACCCCCACCAACACACAAAAAAAGAGCCTTTCCAATAAAATTTTAGTCATATAAATTATTATCACTTTACCTAGTCGATGACCTTCTAATATTTATTGATTATATCCAAACCACTTAAGTTTATTTTCTGCAATCTTAACTTCATTAGGCAGATTTCCAATAAGCAATCTAAAATCACCGTTTGGCAGTTCTTTCATCCTAGTCTAACACTACATAATATTTTGGCTAATACAAACTTTAAAACATTTTTTACTAAAAAATACAAACTTACCACTTTCATTTAATCCCCACCAACACCTATCCGTTTTCTTCTTCCTCTCCACAATATTCTACTTTATCCATCTACCTCTCCCATCTTCTCCCTCTCATTTATTTTATCATCTTTATCTCATCATATTATCATCATCCTCATCATCGCTATCATTCATCTCACCATTATCTTCTTCCTCTCCTAATTATTCTTCTTCACTCAAGTTCAATTCATCATGTGATTAAAGATAAAAAATGATCCTTTAGCTCATTCACCTCATCATCCTACCCACCATTCTTCCTCTTCGCCTTACCACTACCCTAACTCAACCATATTCCTCCCATGCTCTATTTTTGCATTTCTTTCATCATCGTCAAAATCATTATGCATATCCACCTTCCTCCTAGTCTCCTCTTCAAACATGTACTTGATAATGAATGATGCTTCTAAATTTTGGATTTAGTCTTTTCCCCTAATCTTAAGGTCAACCCTAGGAATTTTTTGCCTCTGGTAGGATCATGGGGCAGCCATTGAGCTCAACAAGCCAGACACTCAAGTACAGATGTCAACCTAGGCATGAGTTCAAGTACTCAAACACATTTTCACCCCAAAAAAATATATTTTCAGGAGAGTGAAAAAAAAAAGAATCAAATTTAGTCTTGCTTTCATGCGACCTCACATTGAAAAATCATCTCCATTCAGTATAGCATTCTCATCTTATTGTGATCATGAAATAGTAAAAACTTAACAACCTAAAGACATTAGCTGCCAAGATTTTCAGAACCAGGCCACTTGGCTTTTTTTACCATCTAAATTGGCAACTTTTTCAAAATGCAGCAGGGAAACTGACACCATAACCCATGTGAGAGATCATCATACAAACTTAATTTCAAAGGGAACTTTTTCCAAAAATCGTTGCAAAATTGCCATTTTGAATTTTACCCATCCTAGCTAAACACTACATAACATTCTCACCCATACAAACACAAAATGAATTTTTTTTTATAAGAAAATATAAACCTAAGGGGCTTTCAGGCAACAGGTTTATGATGAGATTTAGGAAGACTTTAAGCGGAATCTTGCAATACGGTCATTTAGACAATAAATCTCGGGATGCAGTAAGTCCGAATTTCTTGAATTTTGGCCAGCAATCCCGGATTTAGTAAATCCTAAGAATCGGTGGATTTAGCTTTGTGCGCTTCTAATTTAAGAAGTCGTCTCAATAACAGTTGTGGTGCAACTAGATAACTGCCAAATAGTTTCACTGGATTTACAGGATTTACTAAATCCGTCGTCAGACGGTTTTCTGTATTTAACCCATTCAGGATTTAGTAAATCCAAATTTATGAGATTTACAAAATTCAAGCAATTTAAATCTCATCTTTTGCCAGACATCACTTGAATGATTCACACTTAAATTTCATCATTCATCCAATCCTCGCCAATAACCATATTTTCTCTTCTTCCTCCCAACAGTATACTACTTTCTTCTCATTTACCTCTTCCACCTTCTCACACTCCTTTATTTTATTGTTCTTTCTTATCATTATCATCATGATCCTCATCATCACCATCATCGATATCTCTCCCATCATTATCTTCTTCTCCTAATCATTCTTCTTTGCTCAAATTTAATCCATCAAGTGATTAAACGTAAACAATGATACTCCAGCTCATTCTCCTCTTCATCCTAGCCACCATCTTCTTCCTCTTCCTCTTCCATCAATCACTACTCTATCTTAAACATTTCCTTTTCTGCTATAACTTTTCATTTTCATCAAAATCATTATCATATATACAGCATCCTCCCAGTCTCCTCTTCAAAATTTGTACTTTTTGATAATGTTCGATTTCTCTTAATATTGGATTTTTAATTTTTTTTCCAATTCCTAAGTAAACTTTACAAGTCAAGTTCAAGCATTGATTTCAAGCTACGTAAAAGTTCAAGCTCAATTACTACCCATTTTAGTCAACTTTAGCTCAGCGAAGTTTTGAATACACTGAAGCTCACTTTAACCCAAAAAAATAATAATAATAATAATTTTATTAGAGTGGAAAAAAATAATTCCTCCGAGTCTCCTCTTCAAACTTATACTTTTTAATAATGGCTGATGCCACTCTTAATTTTGGATTTTTAATCTTTGTTCCTATTCCTAAGGTAAACTCCAGGACTTTTTTTGTCTCTAGTAGGATAAAGGAGCAGCAAATTGAGCTCAACAAGTCAAGCTCAAGCATCAATTTCAAGCTACGTATAATTTCAAACTCAAATTCCACCCATTTTAGTCAACTTTAGCCCGGCGATGTTTGGAATGCTCGTAAACTCACTTTCACCCCCAAAAAAATCTATTTTTATTAGAATGGAAAAAAATAATTCTGAATTTATTATTGATTTCAAGCAATCTCAAGACCAAAGATCATTTTCAATTAGTATAGCATTTATCATATAGTAATCATGAAATAGGAAAAATTTAACCAAAAGGCATTTACTGCTAACATTTTCACAACAAGATCACCTGGCATCTTTCAAGATCAAAATTGGCATAATTTTTCCATCTATATGAAAGATGGCATACAAATTTTTCATAGTAAACAATAATCCTAACAAATTTAACCACTTATGGACAATTCAGCAAACAACGGTACCTTCTTCCCAGGCCTCACAAGCCTCAATGCAACCTCTGCAGCAGTGTTTGCAGCAGAAATCACATCTGCTGCTCTTCCACTTACTGGTCCTTCTTGGAGCACATGAGTATGCGCAGCCACAGCAATAAAACCGTCTATATGACAGCCCAGATCACTGCAAGAGCAGGAGACAAAGGTGAATTATAAATCCAGCCCTATTCCCTTCGCCTACTGTATATAGAAATGAACAAGTAGAAAATAGTACATAAGCTATCCTTACATCTTCACAAGATCATTCTCCTCCAAAACTGCATCATCATTCCCCAATGGTGAAAAATGGCAGACAGTATTGTTCACAGATATGCAGGTCGGGAAAGCAACTCCCCTTTCAATTTTTTTCTTCACATTTTTATACATACTCCCAGCTTGCCTGCATTAATTAATCGACCAATACAGCACCTTATCAACAACCCACGTCAACATACGATCCTAAAATTTTATGAATTAACACAAAACTATATAAAACTAACAGGATAAACACTCACTCTCGGATGAATGTGTCTCCTTTCTCGCAAATGTCCACTATCTTAGCTTTTGGCTTGCACTCTAAAACTACCAGCTGAAGAGCCTCTGTTACATAGGCAAGGAAATCAATGCAATAAAAGCTACCCCGCATACAAAGAATTCTTTTAATATCGTAGAAGTTGAAAGGAGTCACGGCATACTATTAACAATCTCGGCAGCATTCTTGTACTTGGTGACTACATCGGAGGAAGTGAGATCCAACTCTTTCTCCTCCTTCGCCTCATCGTCCGACATCTTTATACCCAAAACTGCGTTCCAAAATGAGAAGGAAAAAAAATCAGCTCAAAAGTCAAAACGAGACCATAAAGTTCGCAAACGATAATGACAGATCCGTGGGAACGATTGGTACGGTAGCCACAACCTCAATCGAGGAATTAGTTCGACCTAGCTTGGGTATCTCTGTAGGTTAGGTTAGGTTATAAGATCGGGGTGCTCGGTCCAGATCTCGGTCAGTCGAGCAGAAGGCAGAGCAGGATGGAGAAGGCGGAGTGAGCGGGACAACGACAGCTTGAAGTAGGGGAATTTAGGTCAACACCTTGTATCGTTTATATGGGAAAAAACGATCTGCGCGTGAATGCCCCAGCCCGACGAGGAAACCCGGCTTCATAGGTGCCAGATTTATTGTCATATGTTGATTTGGGGAATGGGGAATGGGGAATGGGGAATGGGGAATGGAGAGAAAGAAGTTAGCATGGCTTAATTTATAGAATGAGTTGAATTTTTTATTTTGCCTATTTTTTTCGGTCTAATCCCTTGAAGCAAAATTTAGATATACACAAATAGGGATATGAAAATTTTCATTAAATTTCCCCCATTAAATCGAATTCATCTGTCAGAGTGTCTAAATTATGCTCGTCTGTCGAGTCGATCGTTTTCATTTTCCTTGAGCAGCCTAGCCCACCTATGTAAGGCCAGATATCAAAATAAATCATCATGACTACAAAAAGTCATCATGACTAATAAAGACATTCGTTAATCACTTATTAAAAACGTAGCCCAATACTTGGGATTCATTCATTCTACCCAGGTATTAGAGATGATCATTGTACCGGTAATATCTGATATCAGCCGACAGTAGCTGACATCCACAACACAGTCTTTCAACTAGAAGCCGGAGAATGGCGACATATATTACAATATGCTCTGCTTCAATCATTTTAATGATTTTCACCATTTATAGGCAAAAAGGGAGCGAAAAAAGGAGTGAGGGGCTTATTCATGTTTCTCTTTAGGTGTTTTTTTTTTATCTTTCATCTCCAGAGATTGCTCAACATCTCCATTATCTTTCTAATATTATTCATGTTTAACAGCCTTTTATTGTTTCTAAGATATGTTTAGGACTTGAATAGATAATTGCATCATTATACGTGTCCCACGGAGAAATTTTTGTGCTTTTTCAACCTTACAGGCCCAACATAAGGGTCGGTAGTTTTGAAATAATTTAATTTAATTTATATATTTTTCATTTTGAAAAATAACATTTTAATTTAAAAAAAATATGAGACCGAACATATCTCATATAGCTGATAATTTAGATAATTGAGCATGATACTATAAGTGACATACCATCTGGAAAAAATAAATGTATCATTTGTTAGTAGGCTTACATATTAAACTAAGAAGCCTATGATTATATTTTGATATGTGAAATTTATGACCGACAATTCTCCTATCTAATATAAGGATTAGATAGAGTTTTTATTTTACCTGAGTTCTTGGTTTCCCATATAAGCAAGCTCTTATAGTTAACTACATTTCAAATGGCTGAAGTCATTCAAGAAAAACTCTCGATTAAGATCAGTGGTTTCATCTTCAATAACTCAACGTTTAGATTCAACAATTGTTTATAGAAAAATCAAGTGAGAATGACTCAATATGGAATAGTTATTTTGGAAAACCAGATGAGTGAAAGATAGGGAATGCCACAGATTTTGAGGACAACCTCAATGACTTCCCAAACTATACTATTGTTTGGCTTTACATTTTAGAAGTGATGTTATTTATTGTTTCAATCTTGCAATTTATTTCGATTTTAGAGTTTACATTCACACGATATTCGGCTGTGCAAATAGTATAGAAAAATAGAAGGATTTACGTCGTACAAAACGATAACCTAATATTCCTGAAGAGTTAAGGTTTACATTACACATTATGGTCGTGTAAAGGCCAAAAGATATAGTGAGGATTTATGTCGTGCTAGACGAATATCCTCGAAGTCCTATGGATTATGTTGTTTAAAGCTAAGAAATAATTTAGTTGGAGTAGATTCACTTCATGTTGAATCTTGATACGTCGTTTGAAGTTGTCCTCCATCTGTTGTTAGCCTTGTCTTGCTTCCTAGAAAGATGGCCTCGAGTTCCTCATCATGATGGTTTAGGGTTTATTTATGAGCATACAATTAATGTTGAGTCTTATGGTCTGTCGTATGGTTCCACCTAACATATGTCCTACTGTTGTCTACTCCAGGAGATTTTGCACGTATATTAAATTAAACATGTTGTAAAATGCAGATAAGTGGAGTAAAAGTAAAGTAAACATGTGTACCAAGGGCTCGTGCCGCTACTGCAAGGTGAGAATTATAAACATAGCATGATAATGTACATGACATTAATGGAAACATGAGGAAAAGCATAAGCATGTCAAACAAATTAGATGGTATATATAAAAGATCATAGCTGTGTGTAAGATTTTCAGTAATGCGGGAGCTTAGAATCAGGAACAAACCCCTGACAATTCTCAAAGGACTTCGCAGGCAAATTATCAGAATCATGTATCCTCAAAATATATATATATATATCAAACAAAATATGAGTTTCATTCAAAAAGTACATTTTAATATTATATATGTATGTTTTTGAAAATTTGGACATTCGCGAGTCAGTCACACTATCGAGCTGGGACTGCCGACTACCCATGAGAGCAATGGGTAATTCTTTACTAAATGTTAGGGAGCAATAATACCAATACTTGACCCTTTTTTGGATCTAGAACATGTAATACTTTCCACATACCTAGATGATTTTTTCATCGTTGCTCTCACCACCAAGACCTCCAACTTACACCAGCCTGACGATCCATTTATGGCGATTTTAAATGTCTCCATTTGCTAGAAGGGTTTGAGTGTAATGTTCAAACTCATACCCCTAAGCATTGATTTTTACTATAGGTTAAGTTGTAATGGGAATTTTCATTGATGTCATTTAATTAAGTGGGTCCTAAATCATATATTGTTGTATCCTTATGTTTAAAGATGATTTTCTTCAACAAATTAAAGCAATCCTACATGACCTATAAAATATTCAAAATTTCACAAGGGTGTCTAGAGAGTGACTATGGACAACTTTGGAATCTCTTGGATTATCTCAAGTTCATTTGGCCTTATTATACTATTAAATTAATCAGCCCATGTTGAATTAATATATTATGATCAGCTATTTATGACTTGATTGACTCGTGAGTAAGGGCAAATGATTGATATTTATGTTTAATGGAGAGTTATGTGGATAGACTCGTCTGGGGACGTGCTTACAAAGCTCATGGGGTTTTACACTCTTACCCCTCAATTGGGTTTGAGCTTGCAATGTTTTCAAATGTTTCAAGTTCATTTATATTTTCTTGTGTTTCATTCTTTAATCAACCCTCAAGTGATATTAAATCAAACCTAATTCACTACTAAGCTCCTAAGGCCTAGGGCAAACTTATAATTTTGAAAAGTTTGGTAAAAGTGCTTGATCTTGATTGAAAATAATTGAATTTTATTTCTTCATCAGTTGGGGGTTTAAATTAATAAATTATGAACTTCCTAACTCAAACCCCTTACTTTTGAATCATCAAAACTTTCATTTCTTCCAATTTCTTAAAATTAAATAATTACAATTTTGTCCTTTGTAGAAATTATTATGAATGAGTTGCTACCTGATTACTCTTAGGTTTCAATCATTTCAGAGAATTAATCATCATTGTTTAATGTCACTCCCTTCTAATTTATCTTAATTGTTAATTAAACCAGGGTTGAGATGTAAATATCTAAAAGATGCCCTTAGGGTTTCTACCCCCAAAAATTTCACATTTTGATGTAAATAATAATGAAAGTTTATTGATCTATGACTCGTGGGACAATTAAGACACCAAAGAAGAAATTATGTTTTTATGACATTTATTTATTTATTTTAATTAATTAAACCCTTAATTATGAATTTTCAATGTTAATTGATTTGACTTTTCAAAACATATTCTCTATTCTTAGGAAAATTTGTAGATAAACCCCAAAGTCATCGGATTAATCGAAGAGATTTCTATGAGTTTTTGAGATGTATTTTAATTTTTATAATATTTAAATGATTTTTCAAAAGAAAAATAATTATAATAAATTATTTAATTTTAAAATAAAATTTTATTTTTATTTGATCTCACTTCAGAAAACTCATAAAAGTTGATTTTTTATTTTTCTAATTTTTCTCTTAATTTTTATGAATATTGTAAGTGAACGGAAATAAATTCATTAAGAAAATTAGGGCTTTTGGATTTAGGGGTGTCCACTCACTTTGGAAAAATCAGATGACTCGCATAATCAGATGAAGGATAAACCATAAAATTTCAAGTCAAAATAAGCAATATTTAAATTTATATGATTTAATTATGCTCTGGAGTTTTTAATTACTTTTAAATAAAGTATTAAATAAATGTTTCCAAAATTTGGTCCATAATATTCTCTCTGCTCACTGAGCACATGGATTTTTTTACTTTATTTTTATGATTTTTCTACACCATGATATGATTTTTGGAAATTCAAATTAATTTTCTTAAATTAATTAAATAAAAAAATCTTGATTTTTCTACTTAACCAAGTGATGCTTACTCAATCTAGGCAGATTCGAAAGGTAGCACCAATAATACTACAAAATAACTCAAATAAATTCAAAAGAATATCGTAATAACACTAGTGTACAACACGAATAACACCACACTGACTCCACATGTCCACGCGTCGTCACCTCATTTGATGTGTGTTCCACGCCCTCGCCACGTCAACCCATGGTTTGTGATCTATTCATCCATCCAACTTGATCTTCACCACTTGTCGACACTATTTTTGGTGTGGGGTTTGCCCGTAAGAAGCTGTCGGTCATCGGAATTGAAATCTTGTTGCCCGCTTCGGAAGGACGTTTTAAAAAATTTTATTTTTGAAAAAGATGAAGTCAAACTGACCCCATAATTTTCATAGTTTAAATGAAAGAGTGCTTTACCTCAAATCTTGTATCTATCTCGAAGGATGAACACAAGAATTGAGGGCAAGACTTGATCAAATAAACTAGAGAAAATTATGACATCCGTTTTGTCTGCGAAACCAATGTATTGGCCGACAAATTCCCCTATTTAATATAAGGAATTAAATAGGGTTTATATTATGCTGGGTTCGGGAAAAGCTTCCTATAAGAGCAAACCCCTATAGTTAATTACATCTTAGATAACTGAAGTTACCTAAGAATACTCTCGATA